TTAAATGGGGTTATCTCCAGCTTCCCACCCGTCTTGTTCCCCGCTCCAATTCACCCAGCCGAGACCCCTTTCCAACTTCCCGCATTGCCTGGGGGCCCAAAGCAACAGTGAGGACAGCTAAGCAACTGCAGAGTGTGCACGACAAATGCATTCAAGCCTCCCCTCGGCCCTATGGCTCGGGGCGGGGGTGTACCCCAGAGATTACGGCTCTGGCTCCAGTTTACCCAGCTCAGAAGAGCTGAACCAAATGCTCAAATTCAACATGCCCTAAACTGATCTCAGCATTTCCCACCTTACACCTCTTACCTCAGGGGATGTTACCACCGAGGTCAGAATGTGGTCATCACCCCAGCTCCTTGCTCTCCCTTCTGCCCACATCAGTGATTTCATGCAGACAGTTCTAGAAGGTTTAGAACAGCACTGTTATGCCTACCATCCCCGGAATAAGAATATAGGCATATGAAGTATCACCCACGGGTTTCAACCCAGTCTGGGTTCTGCCCTTCACTACATGGTGGCTCGCCCCTCTACAGGCTGAGTTTCTTTCTCTGTAAGGTTGAAAAATGATGACTTGCTCAGAGGTCTATAACAGCTGTTCCCAGTCAACTGTTGGTCATTAATATTTATTATGGATGGTTTACACAGCAGAGCTGAGTCTGGGGAAAAAACAAAGCTTCTTATGCTTCTTTTGTTCTCTGGGTTAATGATTAAACATGGTTTCCTCCTTCAAATACCATTTAATTTTTTTTTTAAAGATTTTATTTATTTATTTGACAGAGAGAGAAATCACAAGTAGACAGAGAGGAAGGCAGAGAGAGAGGGGGAAGTAGGCTCCCTGCTGAGCAGAGAGCCTGATGCGGGGCTCGATCCCAGGACCCTGAGATCATGACCTGAGCCGAAGGCAGAGACTCAACGCACTGAGCCACCAGGTGCCCCCAAATACCATTTAATTTTAAGAGACCCTCACAGCACTGCCAACAGCACCAAATAAACAGGCCTTTAATATTCTTTGGCAGTTTTTTCCTTGATACTTGTGGATACTTGTCTAATCTATTTTTCTTATTATGTTTTACTGTAAAGACAAGCCCATTAACTAATCTAACTTTTGTGTTCCCAATTATAGTTTTCATTTGTTTTAGCCAATGGCCCTTTCACAGGCATTAATTATTAAAGTATACATAGCACCAATGTCTATAAATCTGTTAATATAAATATATATTTATATATATTTATGTCTATAAATGTCTATAAATATAACAATGTCTATAAATCTGTTAATATAAATCTGAGCACTTGGGTGGCTCAGTTGGTTAAGCAACTGCCTTCCGCTCAGGTCATGATCCTGGACTCCCCAGACTCAATCTGATCCGGCATCAGGTTCCCTGCTCAGCAGGGAGTCTGCTTCTCCCTCTGACCCTCCCCCTTCTTACCCTAGCACACACACACGTGGGCTCTCTCTCTCTCTCTCCCAGATAAACAAATAAAATCTTAAAATATATGTATATTTTATATATCATATATATATTTTGCTAAGTTCTTTCACTGGATCTAGAAGATAAAAACATATTTAACTAGAACAGCTGTGCAAACTTCTAGACTAGGAGAGAGCAAACTGAAATTAGTACCATTTTCATAATCAGGAACTACATAGAAGGGAAGACTAAAATGCAATATAATTTTTAAATGGAGGGAGGGAGGGAGCAGATCCTCTGAACATGGAAGAGGCTGGGAAGAATTCAAGCAGAAAGAGAAAACCGCCCTGACTACCCCAGTATGATTTTCCTAAGGAAATCAGTTTTGCATTCAGGAAAATCCAAATATACATATTCAAGCACTGTACCTCACAGCTGGAAAAAATGACTGGCTTTTTAAGAAGGGGAGGAAGGGTGGAGGGTACAGCTTCAGGAGTTTTTTTTAATGGTATTTAAAAAAAATGTTTTTAGGGGCATCTGGGTGGCTCAGTTGTTAAGCGTCTGCCTTCAGCTCGTCTGCCTTCAGCTGGGGTTGTGATCCCAGGGTTCTGGGATCAGCTGCATTGGGCTCCCTGCTCTGCGGGGGGCCTGCTTCTCCCTCTCCCACTCCCCCTGCTTGTGTTCCTGCTCTCGCTCTCTCTCGCTCTCTGCCAAATAAAAGTAAAATCTTTAAAACAAAGTTTTTAAAAAATGTTATGCTGCACAAATACACAATCCAGAACAATAGTCAAGTAATATAGTCACAGTCAAGTAATATAGACCAGAAGCTTGATTCTGGAACCAAGAAGAGAATGAATCTACTGATACTTTCCAATGAACTTCAAAGTCCTACACAATTTTTTGAAGACAGGACTAAAAAATGGGGTTTTGTCTCTTTTATACTCTAAATGACCCAAATGAGATCAGGAATATTACAATTTTAACAATATATATATTTTTTATAATTTGTTAAAAGATTATTTATTTGACAGAGAGAGAGATCACAAGCAGGCAGAGAGGCAGGTAGAGAGAGAGAGGGGGGAAGCAGGCTCCCTGCCTAGCAGAGAGCCTGATGTGGGGCTTGATCCCAGGACCCTGGGATCATGACCTGAGCCAAAGGCAGAGGCTTTAACCCACTGAGCCACCCAGGCGCCCCTTAACAATATTTTAAAGTCTTTTTCATTAAGATTAGATTCACCAATAAGCTTCCTTTACACCCACAACAAAAAATGTTTAGCATTCTCAAAATTGTAATACAACACTGATAGTCCCTTAACATATTTCCTGCAAAGTGAACATCTTAAAAAAGCCGTATTGGTCTTAATTCTATGTTCAGAATACAACATCCACTTTTTAAATACATCCATCCTCTGCAAACTGTCAATAATCCCTTTAGCTCACAATAAACAATCCTTTCCCCAGGGCAGAACACACTACACTCTAACATGCAAAATCATTAAGTCCATCAGATTCATTAATTCCACAAATATCTGTGGACCCCTTATAAGTCTGCCACTAGTCTAAGCACAGGGGGGGGAAAACGGACAATTTCTTGCCCTAAGTTTACATTTACTTAAGGATATTATCAATGATGGGACGCCTGGGTGGCTCAGTGGGTTAAGCCGCCGCCTTCGGCTCGGGTCGTGATCCCAGCGTCCTGGGATCGAGGCCCGCATCGGGCTCCTTGCTCAGCGGGGAGCCTGCTTCTCCCTCTGCCTCTGCCTGCCACTCTATCTGCTTGTGCTCACTCTCGCTCTCTCTCTCTGACAAATAAATAAATAAAATCTTTAACAAAAAAAAAAAAAAGGATATTATCAATGAATAAAGTAATAATCTCTCAGAAATCTGCATGCAGAATTACAAATAAAGCACAGTAAAGGGAAAGAGGAAGAGGAGCGCTATTTAGTGAACATCTCTAAGTAGGTGTCCTTTGAACCTTGACTGGAAGGAAGAACTAGACATGAAAAGATGCCTGTGGGATGAGTTCCAGGCAGTAGGACTAGCACAGGTAAAGGACCTGAGTCAGGAGCAAACTTCGTCAACAGATCAGCTAGACTGTAATTTCTGTCTCCTATTTGGGGATAAAAGCTATGTTTTATTAATACCTGTATCACCCCAGCTTCTACCAAAAGTTATGTGCAAAAGTTCCCAGGGTGGCTCAGTGGGTTAAGCATCTGCCTTCAGCTCAGGTCATGATCCCAGGGTCCTGGGATTGAGCCCTACATTGGGCTCTCTGCTCAGCAGGGAGCCTGCTTCTCCTTTTCCCTCTGCCTGCTGCTCCTCCTGCTTGTGCTCTCTCTCTGTCAAATAAATAAAATATTTAAAAAAACAGGGACGCCTGGGTGGCTCAGTTGGTTGGACGACTGCCTTCGGCTCAAGTCATGATCCCGGAATCCCGGGATCGAGTCCCTCATCGGGCTCCCAGCTCCACAGGGAGTCGCTTCTCTCTCTGACCTTCTCCTCGCTCATGCTCTCTCTCACTGTGTCTCTCTCAAATAAATAAATAAAATCTTTTTAAAAATATATTTAAAAAACAAAATAAACACACACATAAAACAAAAGTTGTTAAATTAATATATACAGATTGTTGGCTACTTGCCTAATGACTGAACATAATCACTGCCTATCCGTCCCCTTTTCAATATGAGTATACTGGCTTCTTTTTGACAGATCCGTCAATTGTCAAGGCATCCACAAACCAATGGGGGAATGCCTGTTTTCACAGATCAGACTGGAGACTTGAAACAAAAACCCTTCATAATCCTGTATTTTCGGAATTAAAAAAAAAAAAAAAAAGTGGTCTGACAGCGCGATCAAATATGTGACAAACGGAACTCTCCAAACCCTACTTCCTGGCAGGCGCTAATAACCCAGGCAATAAGGATGTCCTTCGAAACCTCTCAGTGCTGGGCTGGCGGACTCAGCGCGGATGAGTTTTCAACAAGCACAGCAGCACCTACAACATCCACTCATTGAACACGGACCCGGCGGAGGGCTGGAGATAGGACTCTTCGGCCCCAACCTGTTCGCTCCTACTCTGGCAAACGTGTACTAAAGCTGCAGCTGAGTGCCTGCCTGGCGTGCAGGAGGCTCGCAGTAAGCAGTGATGGATGAAAACGAGGACAAAAGCACGTGGGCTTCACCCCGCAGAAGACCGGCCCCGCGAAACACCCGAGCCCTTAAGGCTCCGGGATACAGGCCGGTTTTCTCCCCAGCGAGAAGAGTTTAGGGAGCGTCCCGGACGAAGAGAGGGAGGAGAGGGGCCTGGGCCCGCCGGCTGCAAACCGCACGGGGAGGCGGGAGAGCGCGGCGCCCCCTGCCGACCGGCCCCGGGAGGGGGGGCGGGGCTGGCACCGCGGGAGCAAGACCGCGGGCTCCAACCGCGCTCTTGCGGGCACGGTCCGTAATGGAGGCACCGCGGGCGCTCCGCGGGCTCAGGCCGCGGCCGGGACGCCTTCCCAGTCTGCACTGCCCCTCAGGGCGGGGCCCTGGGGCCGGGCCGTCGGCTAGCCGCGGAGCCCGGGGGCTGCGGCGAGGCCACGCACTTACCCGGGGCCTGGGAACGCGGGCGCGGCACTGGCCGGGCGGCGAGGGGGCGGGCGTGCTGCTCCGGGCGCAGGAGGGCGGCGGCGACTAACGCCACTCGGAGGAGCCAGCTGCGGGGGCGTCCCGACATAGGCAGCGCGGCCAGCTTCTTCAGCCCCTGCGCCGCGGAGCGCGCGCGTGGACTAGCCAGGGGCCGAGCTCTCACACGTGCCGCGCAGCGACGCGCCGCCGCTGGTCGATCCCACCCCCGGGGCGGAGCCCGGTCTCTGCCGTCGGCCCCGCCCCCGCGCCGGGCTCTCTCGGCGAGACCCCGCCCCCTTTCTGCAGCCGGGTGTCCCGGCGGCCTCGCGGAGCTGCATCTCGCTGGTTCCCTGAGGCCTGGCAGGCTGCGGGGTAGGGAGCTTGCTGAGGCCCATTCGCCTGGGCTTTGAGCCCGGCAAACAGTAATTTCATCGTGCACCGAAGAGTGCTTTACACTGCCTTTAGGACCTCTAAAGTGGCCACGGCCTTACTATAAGGGTTTCTTCCACATAGTTAAGGCCCTTTTGTGTTCTCCACACGCAACTAACTTAACGAAAATAGTAACTTAAGGGACTATATTCTATTCAGGTTCTATATATAATTTCCTCCAAAGTGCAGAGAATCCAACAGAACCATTTTCCCACTTCTTCGATTTACCCCTCCGGCTTGACGGCTCCCGCATAGGATCTGCTTCAGGAAAACTGATCTTTAGCAAGTTTGTGCTTCTGTGAGAAGAAAAAGCAAACCCATTACTCCTTCCATGCTCTTCAAATAACACACGTTAGCAACCAAACCCGGGCCTCGAATAGCTTTTGCACATTCAATATTTTGCCAGATCTCAATCCTTAGTGAAAAACCGGTGTTATTTCCGAGTTCTTTTTTTTTTTTTTTTTTTAATTGTGGTAAAATACACACAACATAAATTTACCATTTTAACCATGGTGGGGCGCCTGGGTGGCTCAGTGGGTTAAAGCCTCTGCCTTTGCCTCGGGTCCTGATCCCAGGCTCCTGGGATCCAGACCCGTATCGGGCTCTCTGCTTGGCGGGAGGCCTGCTTCTCCCTCTCTCTCTCTCTCTGCCTGACTCTCTGCCTACTTGCGATCTCTGTCTGTCAAATAAATAAATAAAATGTTTTTTAAAAATTACAATTTTAACCATGGTCAAGTGTACAATTCCGTGTTCAGTGGCATTAAGTACATTCACACTGTTGAGCAACCGTCCACCTCCAGGACTCTTTTCATCTTGCAACACTGAAACTCTCTACCCAGGAAATAACAACTCCGTTGTCCCTACTTTTAGCCATGGCAACCACCATTCTACTTTTCATCTGGGTGAATTTTACAACTGTAGGTAACTCACGTAAGTGGAAATCATATAGTATACGTTCCCTTGTGACTGCCTTATTTCCTTACTGTTCATCCATGTTGTGACATGTGTCGGAATTTCCTTCCTTTTTAAGGCTGAATAATATCCCGTTACATATTATATAACCACATCTGTCACCTCTCGTTACTTGGATTGCTTCCACCTTCTGGTTATTGTGAATAATGCTGCTATGAACTATTGGATGTTCCAATAACTATTGGAGACCTTGCTTTCAATTTTTTGTGGCATATACCCAGAAGCGGAACTGATGTATCATATGGTAATTCTATTTTTAATGTTTTTTGAACAACCCCCACATTGTTTTCTATAGTATCTGTAGACTTGTTTTTAAAATCTGGGTGTACATTATCCATACTCAGTATGGACAATTTACTCAGACTGGTAGGATTCTATATTGCCTGTCTCTGAGGTCAGTCACCTCAATTAAGTACAGTACCATGGACTGTTTTGTCTCTAATGCATGTATAAGCACATGTGCTCTGGCTATGGCTAATTCATAGGTTAATGTTCCAGTGACAGCAACTGCAAATATTTTTACCACAGCCTCAGTAAAACTTCGATCCCAAACTTTAAATTTTTGTATACTTCAAACAGTGTCTTCTCTGAGAATGTGTCTACATTCCTTTGGCTGTTAGCTAGGTCCACGGCCAAAACTTACCCTTTTTGCATTTTTAGCCTGAGCTGCCTTAGACAAGGTCCAAGTGAAACATGTATTGTTAGTTTTGTTTTTCAAAATGGCAGCTCTTTATTGGCTTTTTTTTTTTTTTAAGATTTTATTTATTTATTTGAGAGAGAATGAGTGAGAGAGAGTATGAGAGAGGAGAAGGTCAGAGGGAGAAGCGGACTCCCCAAGTCGCTGGGAGCCCGATGCGGGACTCAATCCAGGAAGTCCGGGATCATGATCTGAGGCGAAACGATCTGTGACTAAGTAGTCACTCTATCGGCCCCGGGGTGTTTTTGTTTTTTTTTTTTTTTTTTTTTTTAAGAATTTTATTTATTTATTTGTTAGAGAGCGAGAGAGCGAGTGCGAGAGCACAGGCAGACAGAGTGGTAGGCAGAGGGGGAGGGAGAAGCAAGATCCCTGCAAAGCAAGGAGCCCGATGTGGGACTCGATCCTAGGACACTGGGATCATGACCTGAGCCGAAGGCAGCCACTTAATCAACTGAGCCACCCAGGTGTCCCTCTTTATTGGCTTTTATACTTAAAATAATGCAAAAGCATTCAAAGCCTGTCCCAAATTCCAACTTCCTCTAATAATTATTTAACAATTTAATGTTCTCCTTGACTTTCAAATTACATTTAACATGTATATTATATATATTATTCAGGATCCCGCTTTTAACCCACACCAGTACTATGTATTGCTAAGTGCGTAACAGACACAATGTATCTCTTGTTTATCCTTATTATTGCCAAGTATTCTGTCCATTTTAGATGGCCTCTCTCCACTCCCCAGATAGTAGTTGATTGTTTTTTGTGCTCCCTCAGTCACTGCAAACATTTCTGTTGTTGAGCCTACGGCATCCAAACTTAAATTATTTTTATTTCTATTTCCCTTACCAGAAAGTGAATTCTTCAGAAGCAAAAATATGAGTTTAGAGCAATCTTCTTTTCCCTTTAATGTTTTTATTTTTATCAGTTACGCATGTTTGTGATTTAGAGTCAAATAGTTCTGTAGAAATCTTTTAATTTGCAATGAAAGAGCAAAGGTTGTACCCCCACCCCCTCCTTACCAATTTTCCCCTCCTCAAAGACAGCCATGTCATTTTTTAATTTTTATTTATTTATTTAAAGACTTTATTTATTTATTTGTCAGAGAGAGAGAGACAGAGACAGAGCACAAGCAGGGGGAGTGGCAGGCAGAAGAATCCGGAAACTGGCTCCCTGCCAAGCAGGGAGCCCAATGCAGAACTCAATCCTAAAACCCTGGGAACATGACCTAAGCTGAAGGCAGACACTGAACCTACTGGGCCATCCAGGCCTCCCTCATTTCACACTTTTAAAAAGACTTATTTATTTATTTTAGAGGGGAAGGGGCAGAGGGAGAAGGAGAGAAGGAATCCCAAGCAGGTTCCCCACTGAGCATGATGCCTGCCATCGGGCTCAATCCCACAATCCTGAGGTCATGACCTGAGCCAAAATCACGAGTCAGGCACTTAACCGACTGAGCCACCCAGTGTCCTCATGTTGCCTCTTTCAACTGCTATTGTGATATTTACCTTCATTTCTCTATATAAAATGTTTGCATTGCAAAAAATAAAAATAAAAAAATATTTGCATTGCTATTTCTCAATTTTTCACTTTTAAGCATTATCTATTGACTTCACTAAATGGAAGATGAGGTTTTAACTTTTCTTTTTTTTTTTTTTAAAGATTTTATTTATTTATTTGACAGAAATCACAAGTAGGTGGAGAGGCAGGCAGAGAGAGAGGAGAAAGCAAGCTCCCCGCTGAGCAGAGAGCCCAATGCGGGGCTCGATCCCAGGACCCTGGGATCATGACCTGAGCCCAAGGCAGAGGCTTTAACCCACTGAGCCACCCAGGTGCCCCAGGTTTTAACTTTTCTTCCTTTACCCATCCCTCCCCCAACCCCACCACACTTTCAACTCTTTATCTACTCAATCAAGTTATACTGTCCTTTCTTCTCTTTTTTTTTTTTTTTAAGATTTTACTTAATTTATCTGACAGAGAGTGGCACAGTGAGAGAGGGAACACAAGCAGGGGTAGTGGGAGAATAAGAAGCAGGCTTCCTGCTGATCAGGGAGCCTGACACAGGACTGGATCCCAGGACCCTGGGATCGTAACCTGAGCTAAAGGCAGACGCTTAATGACTGAGCCACCCAGGTGCCCTATACTGTCCCTTTTTAAAAGTATATACATATATATGTATTTAGATTTTATTTATTTATTGACAGAGATCACAAGTAGGCAGAGAGGCAGGCAGAGAGAGAGGGGGAGGCAGGTTTCCGGCTGAGCAGAGAGCCTGATGTGGGGCTCAATCCCAGGACCCTGGGATCATGACCTGAGCTGAAGGCAGAGGCTTTAACCCACTGAGCCACCCAGGCCCCCCCGAGCCCAAACTTTTTAATGATTGTTTCAATCTCCGCCTCCCAAGATTTAGATAGTTGAGGTGTTCTATCAGTTTAATCTGTCTGAATGAGTCTCTCCTGGAGCCTTTTGGACCTGCACCAGTCCACGTCTGGTGATGGTTGGTGTCAGGGACTCTCAATTCATTTTTCTTCTGTATTGTGTTTTCTGTTTCCTATATCCCATGTCTTCTTTTTTCTTTGTTTAGTCCCTCATTTTAGTAGAGCACAACCTCCAGAAGCATCCTGAGAAAGAAGAAGTAAGTGTAAGGGAAAGGACAAAGAAATGAAAAATAAGAAAGAAAAAATGAGAAATTCAGGAACCATTCCAGGGAATCCAAATCTGAAAAATAAGAGTTCCGAAAGGAAAAACCAACAGCGGTTAGGGAAGTAATGGTCGTCAACAAAAAGTTCAAGAAAACGTCTCCAAACTAAAAACTATGAGTTTCCAGGTTAAAAAGGCCCACTGAGTGCCCAGAAAGGTGGAGGTTTTTTCCTGGTTGAGAAGAACCGCCACCCCTCCCCCCCCAAGCTTTCTCGGGAAAGCCTTGGGGCACAGTGCCCACTTTCTGAGCGGCCGAGCCGGCCTCCTGCCAGGAGGGGGAGCTAAGGCGCAGGGCTGGCGACTGCGCGGGCAGGGCCTCTCTGGGAAGAGAGGAAGAAACCAGAGAGACGG